TGATTTACTGAAACAAGCATTTGCCCGATGTTGCCCTGCTGCACAATTAAAGCAAAGTTTCTTTTTTGCTAAAATTCCTCTCCGCTCGTTGACACTAGTAACCACTTCACATTCCCCCGTCTTGTGCTCGCCTTCGCAGTAGACACATACCCTTGTGGGTTTTGTTTGATAGACTTTACCAGGCTTCCCAAATTTCCCTGATGCATCCGACTCCTTTTCATAAACAGGATTTCGCTTGGTCCACTGTCTGATTGCTTCAGCAAGTTTTGCAAAATCCCAGCTTTCCCAGTCTGGGTCATCCCTTACCAAGTCACCCCGTATAGCTGGAAGCTTATCCAATGTCATGGAAACGTTTCCTTGAACATCCTTCAGTTTATTTAGTGTCTCAAGGGCTTGAACACCATAATTCAATTTCTCACTGAATTCTGCTATTTTCTTTGGGTTGGCTCCAGAAATGTGTGGCAAATCCATGATCTCTTTAATATAGGCTTTGACAATCTCCGGAGTTTTGCCATATTGATCTTGCAAAATTGACTTTGCCCGGTTGTATCCCTCCGCAGTAAATGGCAATGACTCTACCCGGCGTTTAACTTTTGGTCCCAGAAACCCACACAGATATGTAAATTTGTTGATAGCAGCTATATTTGACTTATCCACCGTCTCTGTGAATTGGCCCCAAAATCTTGGCCAATCCATGTATGACCCATCAAATTGCACAATATTAATTTTAGGTAATCTCACTGACATACCTTTCATGCCTTCCCCCGTCTCAGTTTTCGAGGTGTTATGCCCCCCCGGGTTTGCATCCTGAATTTTAGCTTGCATTTGAAGCTTTGTTTCTCCCAATTTCACTTCGAATTTAAGTTGTTCCTCTCGAGCGTAGTTTTCTTCTTCCATCTTTTTGCTGTCTAGCCATTGTTGAAGTCGATTTACTTCGTCTTCAGCTTCACCTATCTTCGCTTCGATTTCCGTATTCCAGTCGCTAATTTCTGCTAGGTCTTCTTTCTTACCGATTTTTTCAGCCTCAACCGTACGTTTGCACTGATCTGTTTCGCTTATTGTTGTTTGGAGTGCCTTTAAATGCCGTTCGATCGTTTCTCGTTTTCCAGCATCAAGTATTTTCCCGGTTCTTTGCGCCGTTAATCTCAACTGAGTGAGTTTTGTATCGAGTTTCGCTTCCTCGTTCGCCATAATAAATTGCTCGCTAGCGTCGAAATAAATCCCAAAATATCACAAATATATCTTCGTCGGTAGGTGCCACGTATTCCGAAACTTTGCCTCCGAATCTTAGTAACGGAATTACGGAATATTATCCAAATAAATGTATCGACGTATATTTATTACATGAATTTATAAAATCTCACAGTTTTCTCACATCACAAAAATTCCCATCTTTGTAAAAAATCCCCTCCCCAGCATGTCCTGAGCATGTCTCACAGTTCCTATGACAACGGTGTTTCCACTTTTTTATATATAAATGTCAATTTCCAACATAGGCTCGTTACTGTGGTTCCAATTGAAGTGTTGCTCAAATATTGATTCAATACATTATCTCAGGCTGACCAATTCATTTCATCAAGTTCCTCGAGATATTCATACACTTCCTAGTATAATTGTAAACTTCCTGTTGAATAGTTTGAATGCACCAATCACCTTTGTTGTTTGTGCAACTAACCAATCGTAAATAGAAAGGAAGTGACCAGAAATGATCAAATACTTGGAATTGGCGCTCTCACAGAAAGTGTATGAATATCTCGAGGAACTTGATGAAATGAATTGGTCAGCCTGAGGTAATGTATTGAATCAATATTTGAGCAACACTTCAATTGGAACGACAGTAACTCTTTCACTGCTAGTATTCTACCACTGTCAAGTAAAATCTCTGGCGTTTCAGATAGTAAATACTAAAGTACAGGTTGCATTGCCAATCAATGGGTTAATAAGAGATGTTGGCAGATAGGTTTGTTAACCCATTAATTAGTAGTACTCTACCACTGACAGGTAAAATCGCCCAGCATTAGACAGAGTAAATACTAGGGGGCATGCTCCAATGGGAATATTTTGAAAATTGAACCCTGGAAATGCCATATCTTGCACTCTGAGCTATAGATTACTCAAAACATTTGAACTACATAATGTGCAATAGATATGTTGGTGCACAGCATTTACATTCCATACTGGAATGGCAAATATGCTTGTGTATTTTTTGCTGCTGTATGTATACCAGCCGCCACCACATGGTTTATTCGCAGTTTATAATGCGCTTTTAAAATACTTGATAATGTAAACATCTTGAAAAGGTGGTAGCTTGTTACTTTGAATATTTTTGGGTTCAAATTATCTCAGAGAAGGCAAATGATGTACAACTTTTATGAAAATATGCCCAAGATTATTAAATTGCCCATGATTCATTAATTAAACTACACAGTTGAATGACACCACATTTACCCAAGGAACTACTAGTAGGAATCTTTGGATATAATTGTATATTTAGGGCCATAGCCAACCTGTACCTTCCATAATTTGCTAATAACCATTCTTTTTTTTCAAAATCATGCAGACCTTTACCATTTAAATAATATACCATTATTAGTACAAACAATTGATGAATTTTAAGCAGCTACATTATTCATGACAAAAAGTATGCAGATAGTACCCATACTTTTTGCAACTTATCCAATATATAGTTAATTAAATACGCCTTCGCTCATTTACTACTACTAATTGTAAAATTTCCTCTGGCTTTCGGCCCTCGCTTTCAGCCCCCCAACCATACAGATCTTCCTACGGCACTGTATATCATTATAAACATGCAATTTCTGCATACGAATGCAATAATGCATCAAGTATTCCTTATAATGCTATATAGCTACATATTAACTGATTAACACTTAAGATTGTTCCCTTGATGAGAACCTTTTGGCATTGACAAGAGTGGAAAGGCAAAGTACAGTAGGGCACATGAGGGTTTTCATAGCCCTCGCTTTCAGCCCCCCAACCATAAAGATCTTCCTACGGCACTGTATATCATTATAAACATGCAATTTCTGTATACGAATGCAATCATTAATGCATCAAGTATTCCTTATAGTGCTATATAGCTACATATTAACTTATTAACACTTAAGATTGTTCCCTTGATGAGAACCTTTTGGCATTGACAAGAGTGGAAAGGCAAAGTAGGGCACATGAGGGCTTTCATAGCCCTCGCTTTCAGCCCCCAACCAGAAAGGTCTTCCTACGGCACTGTATATCATTATAAACATGCAATTATACCATTGCGTCAAGTATTTCTTATACTAAGTTATAGCGCTATTGCTACATATTAACTGATTATTCGAGATTGTTCCCTTGATGAGAACTTTTTGGCATTAAAAAGAGCAGAAAGGCAAATTAGAACACATGAGGTTTCATAGCAGCTTAGAGTGTTAAATTGAAACATGCATTCCTGTGTAAGGTTGACATAAATTAAGTCTCTACATTTATTTATTACAGTTTGTGGTTAAAGTTAATATGAAACCAAGTCGGGCACAATACAGGCGAAAATGGGTTGCTGCAGCTAGAACATTACAAAATACAAACCATCATGATCCTAACATGGACAATCATCCCACTGTTGACCAACATCCCAATGTTGACTTTGATCAGCTGATTGAACTTCCTTTAAACCCTGAATTTCCTGACAATAGTGACCCAGACAATAGTGACCCAGAAATAGATGAAGAACAATGTGAACCAAGTAGAAAACGTCTTTGTGGTGCTGCAAATGGTTCCTTGCATGATGAGGGTGATATAAGTGTGGCAGGAAATGAATGTAGCTCTGATAGCGAAGATGATTTAAATGATGAATCTCTTCATGCCGAGCTAGCTAGTTGGGCCAATGAGTTTAAACACAATGCAATGGATAGCTTGCTTGCGCTTCTTAAAAACAGTGGTCACCCAAATCTACCCAATTCAGCTCGTACACTGTTGGGTACAACAAGATCTATTTCTGTTCAAGTGAAGTCTGGAATAGATTATGTTTATCTGCCTCTAGCTGCTGAATTGTTGAAACATTTTAAGAGACATCCTCCCAATATAGTTAACCATATTGATTCACTTGAGATTTCTTTGAATGTTGATGGGTTGCCCTTATTTAAGAGTTGTAACAAAACTTTATGGCCTGTTCTCTGTGCAATTGTGAATGTAAAACCAGTGGTAGTTTTTCCTGTTGTTCTAGCCTATGGGAAATCCAAACCAAAAGATTTGGAATTTTTGGAAGATGTTATCAGGGATTTGGGTGATATCCTTGAGAATGGTCTGCAAGATGGTAATAGAGTTCTTCCTGTAAGTTTGAGGTGTGTTGTGTGTGATGCCCCTGCAAGAGCACTTGTCAAAGGTACCAAATTATGCTCCGGGTACTTTGGTTGCGACAAGTGTGCGCAAAAAGGCATGTGGGTTGGTAGAGTAGTTTACCCTTTAATTAGGGACATTGACTTGCGATCTGATTATTCCTTTCGCGAGCAGGTTAATGAGGCACATCATTTAAGTGTGAGTCCTTTTTGTACTTTACCAATCGATATGATTAAAAAGTTTCCTATCGACTATATGCACCAGCTGTGTTTGGGAGTGACAAGAAAGTTGATTTTGATTTGGATTAGAGGTAGCCGGGAAGTCAAATTGTCAGCTGGTCAGGTCGAGGAGATCAGTAATAGATTAACTGGTCTGAAACCATTTGTCCCAAGTTTCTTTGCACGTAAACCAAGAGGCATGGCAGAAATCGATAGGTGGAAGGCAACTGAGTATAGGCAATTTCTTGTGTATACTGGTCAGATAGTTCTCAGTGGTATACTAAGGCCTGATCTATATGATCACTTCTTATGCCTTAGCGTTGCTAGTTCCATACTGATATGCCCTAGGTTAGCTTTGCTTCATAGGCCGTATGCTAAGCAACTGATGGAATACTTTGTGGAGCAGGGGAAGGTTTTATATGGCAATGAGTTTCAAGTGTATAATGTGCATAGCATGATACATTTGGCTGATGAGGTCCAGGAGTATGGAAGCTTGGATGCATGCAGTGCATTTCCATTCGAAAATTATATGCAGAAATTAAAAAGATTGGTTCGGTCTGGAAAGAACCCTATTGCGCAGATAGCCAAACGACTAAGTGAGAGCTATGGTGCCATCCCGCAGTCCCGAGAAGCAGTGATCAGTCTGAAGAAACCGGACAATTGTTTTATACTGAGTGATTCATCTTGTTGTGAGGTGCTTGATAAATCTAATCATCCCGATGATGGCGAAGATAAATATTTGTGTCGTGTATATGAGAGGACTGAAGCTCTATTTGATCGACCATGTGATTCTCGCCTCATTCGTGTGCACAAAGGGAATCCACGGTGGACAACTATGAAAGTTGTGTCAGCACAATCCCTCAACAAAAATGCAATGAAGGTTGATCTTGGGCCAAACAAGATTGTTTTTATGACTATCCTACACAGTAACTAAGAATAAAATGCCAAAGGTATTGTATGTGCCTGTCCTAATAGTTACAATAATGTGACTATTTCCTTGTGGAATAAATGAAAATGAAATCATAGAAAGTTAAAAGTAAAATTTACTTTTTTTTATTGCTCAAATAATTGTAACAATAGCATAGGAATATTTGCTTTTGCTTGAGAATATCCAATCCAGACATATAGTCTATAACTGCAAATATATATCTTTTTCATTGAAGATGACTACCACTGGTTTTGCTGTTGTTGAGTTTGTCGATGAAAAGTCAGTTGAGATAATTTGTGAAAAATGGATAGAGACATGTGATGGGGTAAGTATTGCAATTTTCAGCAATTATATGTAGCGGTATGTATGGGTGATCATAAAAGAAACCATGTTACGTTGAGGATGTCATATATTTTGCAAAAGATTGTTAAACAATAGAACCAGCTCTATGGTTAGTATTTTATAATGCAAGGTGTCGATTTTTTATCTTAGGTTATGTACAGCTACTGGCCACAGTTAAATGCAAAAGGAAAAGCTAAAAAAGCTGTGATCCCCGACAAAGAATTATGGAAGAAGTATAAAATAAGGGTGCTGTCATACACAGGTATTAATGTATTTTAGTATAATGTATTTTAGTATAAAACCATGTTCTGTTTGCCCATTCATGCAGTTCACCTATAAATCTGGTGCAATATTTATTGCTACAAGCATCAATTATTGTGTTGCAAAATAACAGTATGTGTACCTGTCTAAATATCTGTATTGTCCGTATTAGAGAGGTACAACTGTATTTGAATTTCAGTCGTTGTACCATTTTCTAATGCCTTTTAGATAATTTCAAGACAGCTCAAAAGCGGTTAAAAAAAGCTGAAGAAACATCAAATGTTGATTCAGAGTCTGATTCAGATGGTTGTGTAAGAACAAAGAGGTCAAAACCTAACACCCCAAGAAAGAGAAGTCGACCGGGAAGTTACCATTATGCTGAACTGTCGGAATGTTACGATGGTAAGTTTCAACCTGTGAGTTTGTTTGAATATTTTCCGATTACAAAAGTCCAGTAGGATCCTCTAGGAATTCCAGTAGCAAATTCAGACTTTTACTTATACAATAGACTAATGACAGTATTCCTAAAGGAGTTCCTTAATTAAAACATAAAATATTGTAACTGTACATGTACTTTATTCTCTCACATAAAGGCAATGAAACAGATAATGTGGCACACGAAGAAAATTTAACACGTCCTGCTCTCACACCACTTCTTCCTGCAGCACCCATGTTTCCTGTTACATCATCCCCTGGACTAAATAGAAGTGGAGATTTCTCAGCTGCCCTTATATCGGCGGTTAACACTGTCTTTGATTCAACACCAAGTGGTGAGAACACTCTGAAATTGATTAATTAGAAGAACGATCACAGTTCCATGTTAACACATTGCAGCTACTGTAACTTTTGAGATTGCTTTTATCTTTGCGCAGATGTAAGCTGTGGTAGTCGTCCATTACTCTCAAGTATCCCTTGTACATCTACCAGTAGTCCAAATTATTCAAATTCTCAAAGACAACATCAAAGTAAGTTTGAAAAATCCGTCGTTGCTATGATTACATAGACGCATTGTCGAAGAGGTTAACATACACTATCTTTGATCCAACTCCGGTTGTTGAGAGCACTTCTGAATTGATTGATTATATTAGAACCAAATCGCAGTTCCATGTTCACTCATTGCAACTACTATAACTTTTGAAATTGCTTTATCTTTGCATAGACGTACTTACCAGCCTGAATAATGCGAGCAGTGTTAGTCGTCCAGTTCACCCAAGTATCCCTTGTACACCTATCAGTACTCCAAATTATTCAAATTCTTATAGACAGCATCAAAGTAAGTTTAAAAATTTGTGCTTGTTATGACTACGTATTAGACGTATCGACTACACACGTAGAAATCTCACATCTGTCAACAAGATGTATTCGCACTGCTTGACACAAGTTGTCAACAGGTTTGGAACAACTTGTTGACAACTTGTAACAACCTTGTCGAAATGATCAGACCAGTTGCAAGGTTGTTCTGACAAGTTTGTTACCGGTACATGCTTAAAATAAAAAGATTGCTAAAACCTTGTAACATCCTTGTTATATTATGGCTGTGACAAACGTGTTAGCACAGTCTTGTAACAGGGCTGATAATACCATCAAGCTTGTTATAAGTTGTTACGTTAACAGCTTGTTTCACACTTGTTACAACGAAACTGGGAACAAACATTGCGAACGCAACTTGTTGAACCGACCTGACCGCGTAGCTCAGTTTGCAGAGCATTGGGCTAGTATTCCAATGGTCGTAGGTTCGAATCCCACCGTGGCCAGGTATATTTTTCAAGCCTGCCCGGTGTGGATACACACTCAGAGTAACAATCACATGCATCTTATTTACCTGAGTACACTACACCAACACAGCAGTATCAAAACTTTAACAACTTGTTTGAAGATTTGTTACAACTTGTGCGTTTTTACGTGTGTAACAGGTTAACATACTGTATACATGCATGATCTTTACTTTTATTTATTTATTTAACTTTGCCAATAAACATTAAAACACCGAAGAAACATATATGGACAATGGCAGGGAACACGCTACAGCTTACGCCAATTACAGCAGCCCTGTACATATAAGATACGACATCACAAACACATTAAGCTAATAACAACACGATACTTCACAGGACAGATTACGGGACTTGTTACAGGACAAACATATTGATTTCCATGTTCTTGGATCATCCACGTCGTAGACCGTTTGTAATGCTACTTTATAGTACATAAAAAGTCCATTTTTTAATTGACTAAGGATGGTGTTATTGCCTGTCAAGTTCTTAGGCAGTACAGGTTTAACACCAGTTTATATTTAACACCAGTGTATTGTAAATACAGTAGCTTTCTGCAAGCGCAAATTTATTTTTTTTCTTTTTCGACTTGTCAACTTCGGAAAATTTGAATTTGGTTATGTAGATATCGAACATGTACATGGTCAACGAACATTGTCGTATTTATAATTACAAGGTTACTTGTATATATGAATTTTCCGCCATATTAAAAATACTGAAATCTGCTAGGCGTTCTGAAGCACCTTTAGCGGTGACGTCACATCTAGGTCCCAGTCTCGTACCACATCCTCGTTTTTTCTCGCGCATGCTTCAGAACGACTGGGACTACGCTGCACTTTACCTATAGAATCGATTTCTGACATTTCCAGAGTCATACGATAGAAACGTCGCGTTGTTTTAACGTTGTGAAATTGTATTTACGGTTAGGACTAGCTCACGGTCGGACCAGAAATGGAAATACGGTGATAAAAATGCCACTTTGAAGATATAGGCTCGCAATGTGCTCTCAAAAATTTTTAGCAAAGTTTCCGCCACTGGTCTTGGACTGGACTGCATTGCATGTCCTTGCCATAAAATATTACCCTAAATTTTAGTTTCTAATGTTCAGCAAAACTTCTATATACAGTATTGTTTACAACGTCGCTGCCAGCGGACATTGTTGTTGCAAATCTTTGTCAAACTGATTTAAGCAAACGTTGTGTTATATTTATGTCATGGGTCAAATATAGGCTTATTATGCAGCCATCCCTTTTTATAGTATTTATGTCTGCGTCTTGGTAGATAAATAAATTAAATCTCTATTTCACCTTTAACTTTAGAAGCTTGCAGACGAGTGCACAAGAAGGCTAATGACGTCGATGACTAGTGGCAGATCGCAGAATTTTTGAAGCATGCACCAAACAAGCCAGGAGGCACAAGATACAAGGTAAATATTGAATAATTCACTGTAATCCAACTGACACGCCTAGAGAGAACCTTTCTAAACAAGTTCTTTTTTTTCAGGACCGTGAAAGTCACAAAGATTAATTAAGTTATGTATTACAGAATTTATATATTATTCTATGACTATACGTTCTCTCTATGGACTATACTGTAATGTCAAATCTAACGTCACACTATGTAATTTTTTAATGAAGTTATTTGCATGATTAAATTTAGATAATTATTAGGTTATTAAAGTTGTTCACGTTTAAAAACTTGTTTGATTGATGTGTTACTGTCGCATATATACTGTATACAGCTAATTCAAAAAAGGTTGTCCTTTGCAAACCTTAAATTGTAAACCTTAAATTCTAAGCGCGCAAAGCATAATGGGAGCACTTTTAAGCAGTTTAGAAAGCATATATGAAGCCCATTTCTTAGAGACATGGTAAATATCTCCTTGCGAAAACATTTCACTCACAAACAGCTGCAATATTCAACTACTAAGCTTGAAATTATGCTTTGTACGCTTAGAGTTTAAGGTTTAGAGTTTAAGGTTTGCAAAGGACAACCTTTTTTGAACTAGCTGTATATGGTCTGGATATAGACCCTGGCCTGCGAAGTTGGTTTTGGTTACTGTAGGCTCGGGGTTAAGGTCGAATCGGATCCCTACGCGGATCCGATCCGACCTTATCCCCGAGCCTACAGTAACCAAAACCAGAAGTGGGCTTGATATCCGAGTTAGGGTTCGACCCGGGTGCAATACGACAATGCGATCAGACTTTTGTCTAAGATATTTTTTAAAATCGAAGTCTAAGATATTTAAAATTGAATTGCATTCTTAAATACTGGTAGCATTCTGTGTACATGCCTTGGCCTTTTACAACATAATTCCATGGGATTTTTTATGCGAGTAGCGGCTGTATAGTTGGAGCGAAGCACTCTTTTTAGTTTTATACCCGATAATGAACAATATTACTACGGCGCCGAAATTATCCTTTCATATTCACATTTTGCAACGTTTGAACAAACGTTCTGGGCACGTTGTATAAACTTTGTGGAAACGTTGCGTGAACGTTGTATGAACGTTCAGCGCAACGTTATTCACAACGTTTTTAGTACGTTTCTGGGAGTTCACAAAATAACGTTGACACAACGTCCATCACAACGTTCTTTTCACGTTATTTCAACGTTTATACAACGTTGTGACAACGTAATTTTGCTAGCTGGGGCGTAGATATGGCAATTCAAAGTTCGAAAAAAATCTATTTTTAGTAACAATATAGCTGATTTTTCAGTAAAAATAGGATTTGAATCGCCATATCTTCGCACTGCCTTGTTGTATTTTTAATGTTTTTACTGTTTTGAGATCCTTATAGGACAATCTCTTCAAAAAAGTTACTAGCATGTTCCTAGCTCGTGCTTAATTTTTTGGCGCCAAAGGTTGCACGTCATTTTCCCACCAAAATGTAACAAAATCGAAAAACAAAAAACATACGATTTTTAGGAATGTTAAGTTCTATTCTGTGAGGGAGTTTCGTGATATTCCAAACTAACGAGAGAAAGTTATATGCACGTGTCCAAATTTGCTGTCTTTTTTGCCCACCGTAGCTAGAATAGCAAGAAACAAATTCGTCCAGGAAAACATGGGAATATAATCTTTGTCTGCCCCTGATATGCTTTTAAAATAAGTTAACATGGAAACGAGGACAAATGATGTTGTGTAAAAGAGAATAATCGGTAAGGTCTATTAAGAATAAAAAGCCTAAATGCGAGCATTGTGGATCAGTACATGCTGCATGCATTATCCCATAGTTGCCAACTGTGGCGAAAAACATGCGTGAGATTTTGTTTTAGAGGACCCATTTTGAAAATATAGAGTCTCTAGATCGTTGGAAATGGCATTTTCAGAGTCTTCTGTGCCTTATACACACAAGTTTTGGTAGCTTTTATGTATATTAAACAAAACCATAATATTGTTGAATACCAACGAGGTTGCATGTAGCGATGTTTTGATTATGTATTTCAGAAGAAAAAAGTTTTATGTAATTTGATGCAAATAAACTTAATGAAGTCACTCTTAGTAGTTAAAATGGGCAACAAAGCCAACATATTTAAGAACCAGTTGTGTTATTTGCAAAATCCGTGAGAATCCGTGAGATATTAATTAGAATCCGTGACGGCCCCTTATACCCTACATATAACATATACCATAACAGCTATACAGCAATTGACAAATATAAATATTTCGGCGCGCGTCTAATTTAATGACACTTATCCGTGACTTTAGTCTGCCGTCAAGAACTAACGTAAAACCAGAAAAGCAGCAAATGTTTCTTTAATTGGAATAATTGTTGTCTTTGTTACTTCGCGATAAGTCATTTTACTCAATGACATTTATCTTGTTGTTTATTGTTAAGTAAAGCCTGGTTCACATATATGCCTGCGACGTACCGGCGATGTACCGGCCACGATACGGTGCTAGCTTTAAAACGTTAAGCCTGGTTCACAAATGCCTGCGGTATGCCTGCGACTGTATCATTATGCCTCTACTTGCCGCCGAAATACCGGCAAAGTTGAACTCAAGTCAACTTTGCCGGCCTACCGCCGATGTAACTGTGGCACTGGAGGCAATCGGCGAACAAATGTTCACATAATTTACGTTTTAAAGCTACCATCGGCATCGTCGCCGGTACGTCGCAGGCATATATGTGAACCAGGCTTATCCCTGCGACGTGCCTGCGACGTACCGGCGACGATGCTGGTGGTAGCTTAAAACGTAAATTATGTGAATATTTGTTCGCCGATTGCCTCCAGTACCCCAGTTACATCGGCGGTAGGCCGGGGAAGTTGACTTGAGTTCAACTTTGCCGGTATTTCGGCGGCAAGTAGAGGCATAATGATACAGTCGCAGGCATACCGCAGGCATTTGTGAACCAGGCTTAACGTTTTAAAGCTAGCACCGTATCGTGGCCGGTACATCGCCGGTACGTCGCAGGCATATATGTGAACCAGGCTTTACTTAACAATAAACAACAAGATAAATGTCATTGAGTAAAATGACTTATCGCGAAGTAAC